TTTTTTTTAGAGCTAATGTGAGAAACAACAACAACAACAACAACAACCGACTGCTCCGGCGGCAATATGAAGAGGAGGACCGTTGCTCTCCAACACCTGGCCTCCACAGCCGTGAAGGACCATTCGTCCATGAATGGCAAGGAGCTCAAGCGTAAGCTGGAGCGGAACACAGGGATCAATGTCGCCCACCGAACGGCAAACCGGATGAAGATGACAGCAAGGGACGGCGACAAAGCGACGACGGCGGCTGGGTACCAGCTGCTGGGTTCTTTCTGTTGACCTTCTTCAACAGCAGTGCCCTGGTTCGGTGGCGGAAACCCAGGTGAGAGATGTTTTCTCTCGACTCGTGGTCTGCGCATGCAGCAAAATGTGTGGCTAGGACCTTGCTGATGCAACCGTGTGGTGTGTGGTGTCCACGGGCAACCGGTGTTGGTGATATGGCCACTACATGATGTCCTTCAAAGAGCACAGCTCTCAACAGCACAGCTCTCAACAACAGCAGTAGCAGGGTAGTCTGTCTGCAGCAGTGTGCTGTCTGTCTGTGTGTTCAGCGCCGATTGTTGGCGACCCCTTCGGTTCCTTCCGTCCTCGTTATACATACACCAGCGTTAGCTTGGAAGGTACCACACCGAGCCCAATTCGAAGCTCAACTACTCCACGACGAAGAGGGTTGCCACCAGAAGATTCTGTCGCTCAGCCATTTTGATGACTCTTGATTGATTGTGTCATGTCGATTGATGTCGATTGCATTGTAATCTCCCCTGATGATCGGTCAGGGGGGTCAGTGTCTTGTGCGACATAGATAGGGTGTAATATCTTGTGCCACATAGGTACCGTCCGTGTGTACTACATACAACAACACGTGTGTGCTGCTGCTGCTTTGTTAATTTTGTTTGAAGTATGAAGCGTTGATGCCGGCCGTATGGTCCCCCCCCCTCGCAGGTCAAGTGCTGCTGTGCACTTGGAACGACTTACCGTATATGACCAAGATAACACACCCCCTTGACCATTTTTCGAAGCTCGATTTCTCAAGTGCAGTAACAGTCATAGCGCCAAAAACGGCGGCGTTGAAACCGTCTCGTCGAGAGCTTTTCGAAAATGTATCGTTTCGTTCATGCATCCCCTTCGTCGTGGAGTAATGGAGCTTTGAAAATCGGTCCAGGGGATGTGTTATCTTGTGTCATATAATATACGGTAATCTTGTTTTCATAGAAGATATAATCAGAACGCTCTGTGTTTTATCCCCAACTATTTTTACTCCCTCCCAAGTTTAAGACTCCTAATTTTATGTCCAAGTATCAAAGAGGTTCAAGGAAAGCGACCCGAATAGACTTGTAGATTTGGAACGGGCTGGTGCTTCGCTCTATAAATCAATTTTGTGGGCATTGTCTCTGTTTGTCGTTGGCTGTCCTTCTCCTCGTATGCTTCGCGCCAACACTGCATCTTCTGTCTTCTGCAAAATTGACGGTTTCATTCTTCATGGATCATTCCCCGCACTCACCATCGGTTTTCTGGCAGAAACACCCAGACGGCACCTTCAAGCGATGTTTCATCATGCTCGGACGTGCGGCGCACGTGGTCGCGGAAAGTCCGTTGAAGGTGGGCTAGTTGTTTGAGAAAAATGTGGTGGCGTGGGAGTTGCTTGGAAAGATGTTTCGCTCGTTGAACCTGGATGTTGTTGTGTTGCAGACTATGGGCTATTTTTGGAGGGCCCGC